AAAACTTCAGTCTCTTTTTCTTTATATTTAATACAACATAATAAGGCTGAAAGTTACATCAAAAACAGAACACTGTATCACGCAACGCGCCCAGATTAGCTACAAGCAGTTGATGTAATCAAGTCGACGTAATAATGTAAATGAATGCGAAGCACTGCTTCTTAAAATAACCATGGCCATGCTATACGTCATTGGCCTGGAAAACACTCCACCTTCAGGTACCTAAAAATGCGTTAGATTCCCGCTAGAATAATCTTAGCTTAAAAGATTGAGGTACATGCAATTTCTTAGTGCCTAACCACAGAACGATGCTGGTCAAGTGCTCTGGAACTGATTTGTTTCATTACTGTACAGCCTTTCTTTTACAAAAAACTCAGTTCTTAAGTCAATAAAACATTAAAAAAGCGTGTCGCTGTTATTAAGCAATTGAACTATCTGAGCACCAGTTCGGGTACTTATATAAGATAACAACAATATTACAAAAAGGTCCTGAAGGGGGGTATACCAAATCTCAGTTTCCAGTCTTTGGTCCAAATCCTATTCCCGGTTGTTTGTTTGCAAACTGATGGCATGCGCATAATGAACGAAAAGCTGCACTGATTGACACTGTCTGGATACAAGTTCATTCATCTGGAAAGAAAAAAATCTCTCATTCTACTGGACAGGTGTACAATCTTTCTCTCCAACCCTTGTTGACATAACCATATTAAATCTAATTCTCTCATTCTAACTTTCACCATCTTCATCCGACCCGCGCACATATCTCCACTCCACTTCGCTGCCGCGTCAGCAGTAGTTGTCACGGTGCAGTCAAAATCAGTTAAAGATTATAGTTTGCAATTTTCTGTACGGATTACCGCATTGTTTGCTGGACTAAAACATTTCGATGACCATAATTGTGCAAAATGCGGGAAACATTTTCCAAATCGTACGCCATTTTGATCTTTCTCAAATGGGCATGTCATTTCACCGACAACAAACCATTGAACAGGGAAACTGACAGAATTTCATTCATGCATTGCTACTGATGTTACTGATGTATAATTGGATTTCTCCACTTCCAAAAAATGGCTTATTTGTGCAAAAGTTTGTGAAATAATCGAGTCAAAGTCCTCTAAAGAGAGAAATCACACTGCCATTTTCAAAATTGTTCATCCGTTTCCCAGTGCAATAAATCCCATTGTCCCACTCCCCCCCTCCCAAAAAAAATGGTGAAATCCCAGTTCTCATTTTACCCCTTCAGGACCCTGTTATTACTATTGCATCACTCAAGGAATTTTAAGTTACAGTTTTTAACTAGTATTTACTCACTTACTAATCAGTAGCACCCAACGACCGCTTTTCCCAAAATCAGCTCTGAGTGCCTCTTTATAGGCCTCCTGGAGTGCTTTAAAAGCAATATACATGATTAATAATTAGCATCGCTATAAACGGTTTAGAGCTCCAAACAGATGTTTCCTAGAAAACGGTCGTCGGGTGCCCCTGACTAATCTGTTGCGATGCGTTTTAGTTTGGAGACGTTTACTTTACAATGCGTTCTGGCCTTCCATCCATCGTCATCCAAGGCCGAAATTTAGCCTTTTGTTGTTGAACTCCGTGATTGTATTACCCTTTGACGAAAATGCCTATTCATTTGTCAGTACGAAGTAAATTTTTCCGTCAATTTGCCAATTTCCTTAGTTGTTACGCAAACAAAATGTTACGTTAAGCACAAGGTATAAAAACATCATTTAGGGAGCTGATTTTAACATTTTCTGGGTAAACTCTAAAAAGTTAGCCCTGAAAAAACTAAGTTTTGCACAAAATACTATTACCAATATGTAAAGCAAGAATGTATAGCAAAATCAAAACGCTCCAAAATTGTAGATATTCTTTGCTCTCTACATAGATTTGTTCTAATGCAATGATTAACCGGAAGAACTCGTGCCTAAAAGTCAAAGTACTAAGGCGTATTTCAACATCATCCAAGGAAGCAAAATTTCTCTATCAGCTAATGCTGTTTCACTGAAAAAGTTTTAAGGAGTAAAATAGTATAATATTTACTTTCTACGGTTACACGAAACCTTTTTTCCTCAGGTAAAATAGACTTTGATATTATAATGTTCCTTTGATTCAGCAGTATTATTTCTTTGACATCTCACTGCAATCAGCACGGCCCCTGTAAATAAAGTAACATTTGATTAATTAATACGCTTAGGTTGGAAAACGGAATCACGGCCTCAATACTACTCGTTCTATAGAGGTTTCAAGATAAAAAGCCTTAGATTATAGGATAGCAAGGATGAGACGAATGTAAAATCAAAGTTGGGCAGAAGCTCAAAACTTTTCATCACTTTACAACAAGAGAGTGTTTTTGGTCTATTTTCTGACTATTTAACCTGTTTTTCTGCTCATAACAAATCATAAAATAAAGGTTTTAACTCTTTTTGACGAATATGACATTTCTCTTTTGAATCGGGTAAAATGATGCCTTAATGGTATCCAAACTAAAATGTTAAGGCAAAAACTAAGAATTCTCAACGCATAATCCAGAGCCAGTAGGTCACAGTAACAGCCATTTACAGTGAATGCTGATTTTGCAGTTAATTATATGATTATTGAAAAGTTTCTAGTGTTCAACAAACGTTTTTAAACAATTTTGTATTACAGAAATGAAATCTGATTACGTCAGAAATCCAGAATGATTGTACATTAACCATTCATTCATATTATTTTTTTCAATATTATTCACACTAAGTCTTGCTTTTACTGCTTATTTGTTAATAATATTGTCAATTCTTTTAAATCTTAATTTGAAGACAATAAAACCTTAAACCTTATTTAATATATTAAAACCCTAAGTAATCTAAAACAAAAGAAAAGTCTGCACTTACAGCTTTCTCAACGGTTTACATCAAATTCAATCGTGACGTCATCGCCAATCAGCACAAATGGAGCCCAGTAATATGGAGCGGAAAAGTCGTCCGAATCTCGAAGGCATTTCATGGCCTTCTGCAGAGCAGTACTAGCACTTTCTCCAACTCTCAGGTGTTGGTAGAAACATTCCATAAACACCATTGTGGCTTTATCACCAAGTGCCCAGAGTGACGCCAGCACAGAACGAGCACCAGCAAACAAGAAAGCCCTTGCCATACCGACCACACCCTCAGACGAGACCTCTCCTTGACCACTATGGGAGCAACTAAGCACAACTAGCCTTGCTCTCAGTTTAAGGGCTTGTACATCAGACATTTTCAACATGTAGTCCTCTTTCGTAGGGATACGAGTCTTGGATTGCCACCCGGGGTTGGGAGCCAAAGCAATTTCACCAGTTTCCTCTCCTCCGTGTGCTGCAATGTGAATCAAAGCGACTGAATCTATTCTCCGAAGCACCTCTTCTTTGGTTGCAGCTTCTCCTGTGAGTGGTTGGCTGTTAAGAAGTTTTCCAATCATTTCCACTTCTTTTTTTGCGAACTTCAGCTGATCATAAATTGGTTTATCCCTTCTATTTGTAACTTTCCTCAAACATGGATCTCCAACAAGCAGGGCGCCAGTTTTACTGTGGTATTCACTTGAAGAATCTCTTATTACTTTCAAACTTGTCAGTGAGGGAATAATACGGATCCTTAAAGTTTCACTTAGGGCTGTCCAAGGAGCTAAACACAAAGCACCATCAGGGACTACAACCAGTTCATCGCCATCAAGTAAGTCTTCAATGGGACCAAAAACTATATCATGCAATGGCTGTAACCAGTCGATATTCTCGTGTGATGGAATCGATGTTTTATCACCACCACTAGTACTGGAAGCTGACTTATCGCTTAAAACATCAAGTGACCGATTCTCGCATCTAACATCTCTGCCAGCCCCAATTTTTTTCAAAGAATCTTTCAAAAGTGCATCAAAGGGATCTTTGTGTGAACCTCCACATTTTGATACTGCTTGCCTAAAAATAGCGTTGGTTTTCTTTCCCAGTACCCAAAAGCTTATTGTTCCATTGTCCAATGCAATGAACGTTGTCAAAACAGATGTGTTCCTTGAAATGTATGCGAAGTCTTCCTCAGTTTCATTTGAAATGGGCGAAAGGAATGCAAAGCCGTACTTTATTTTCAAGGCATCTAGCAAAGCCCCTGCTCGTCCCCGTTCTGCCGCGTACAAAGCCTCATCCGTCTTTTGAAGCGCTATAAGAACTCGACATAAACAACGATAGGTAGATACGTAATGCTCACGAAAACTTATTTTCCATGCGTCTTCCGAAATGAAACTACCCCTAATAGTATCGAACGTTTTTACGCTGAATTTGAAATGAACTACAGCCTCATCCAAAGAACCTGACAACATAAGACTTGTACCCAAGTGTTCATAGGACACTGCTTCTAGCAACATGTCAGGCACTTCCTTAGCAATTTTGAGCTGTTGCTTGTGGTACTCGATTGCTTGTTGAAATTGTTTAAGGGACATGTAAGCAAGGCCGAGATTGCCATAGGCATATCCCTCGCTGGACCTGTCGCCCACTTCCTTAACAATGCTTAGACTTTGCTCATAATGCTCTATTGCTCTTGGAAGGTCGCCAAGGAAATAATAAACTAAGCCGAGCCCGCCATAGGCCGTTCCTTCTTCAGCCCTGTCGCCGACTTCTATTGCAATGCTCAGGCATTGCTTGTGGTACTCTATTGCTTGTTGGAATTGGCCAAGGGATTTATAAGCACTGCCAAGATTGCCATAGGCACCTCCTTGTCCGGCCCTGTCGCCGACTTCTATTGCAATGCTCAGACATTGCTTGTGGTACTCTATTGCTTGTTGGAATTGGCCAAGGCAGTCATAAGCACTGCCAAGATTGCCATACGCACCTCCTTGTGCGGCCCTGTCGCCGACTTCTATTGCAATGCTCAGGCATTGCTTGTGGTACTCTATTGCTTGATGGAATTGGCTAAGGGATTGATAAGCAATGCCGAGATTGCCATAGGCCCGTCCTTGTCCGACCCTGTCGCTGACTGCTACTGCAATGCGCAGTTGTTGCTCGTGGGACTCTATTCTACTCCTTTCTGTCATTTAGCAGTTATTGTATGAAAATTGTGGCTGTTTCTTGATGGTAATAAACCTGGAAAAGGAAAATATAAAGTTATCATTCTTTCCTGTCTGCTACTTTTCTGTTTTCTTTAGAGTTGTGCGCGTTGATGTGAAGAAAATGCAGAAAAGTGCTTTCTAATTCATGTTAAACTGAAATTAGTTTTCTGGATTGGATAGACAAAAATTTAAAATCCTTCTGCACTCTAACCCATGTACATAGCCGCCTTAAGTCAGTTTCGCCTATGGAAACTTTGTATATAGCTGCTCTAGTTTATTTAAATGAACTTCTGTCTTCCCTTAATTTATGTTAATTTACTTTCAGTTAGTTCCCGGAAGCCTTGTAAATAGTATATAGCCGCTTTTATTTTTAGTTTGCTCTATTTAGCTGCTTCTAAATTTTTGTTTCATGGACATAACCGCCTTAAATTAGTTTTGCCTATGAACATTTAGTTTGCCGAACGCTTTGTATATAGCCGCTCTAGTTAATTTAGTTTCCATTAGTTCCCGGAAGCCTTGTAAATGGTTAATTTAGTTCCACTATCTATTTTCGGAAACTCCTTTTCTTGTAAATAAGGTTGAGTTGGCTGTTCAATAAAACACCCTGCGGGGGTTTTTATATTTAAAAAAAAATATATTGTTTTCTTTCTTAATAGACACTTTTTTAACGGCTTAAACAAAGGTCCCGTCTACACCAATCCGGTTATTTTTGAAACTGCATATATACTTTATTACCTTGGTTCGTAAACCTGTTTTGACAGGGGTTTCAGCAAGATGCCTTTTCGGACAACAGATTTACTGGTTTCTTTTGGACGAATGGCCGATTCGTGTAAAAAAGTGCGGTTTTTTAAAAAATATCAAGATTCGTGTGGATGGGGCCTAAACCGGAGGTTTGTTGTTGATGCAGATCACAAATTGACTTAATACTGAATCCTTATTGTTCCTTCGTAATGATTGTCACTGTCGTCAGCGTACAGTTTGTTTCTAACTATTTAGGGCATTGTCTCCAAGTTTCATTTTTTTTTGAAATATGCAGAAGTCTTAGTTGTTGTTTTACACCAAAATATGAAACTCGAAGACAATACCCGGAATAATGAGAGGCTCTCGTAAAGACGAAATTTGGGCAAAGTTAAATAGTCAATTGTAGCCCTTATGTTCAAAAATATTGAAACTCAAAGGTCATATTAAATGACGGTTAATCTCGATAATCTCAAATTTCAAAAACATTTATCAAGCGGTTTCAAAATTATTTGTTCATTTGGTAAAGTAGACCAAAATATTAAAAAATAACGCCAACAAAAGCACCTGAATGTATTATCGCATCCGGTCCCTTTTTCTTGCGAGCGTATAAAGCCATCCCCATTATCTTTAGAAACACGTTTAATTTAAAAGTGAATGAAAGTACTATGAGACAGAATTGCATTTCAAAATTTTCGTTTTCTAAAGATAACGGCCGAATACTGAATACTGAATATTGAATTTCTAACCACAAATACTTCATCCCAAAATATTTTCAAAACGCTCTCGTAGATTGCAAAGGTCCTGAGTTGAACTATTTTGGTCGAAAAGTTGGTAGGTACTTCATGTAAGCCTTACGTTTAATGTCCTGAGACATACATGGCCTTACATGTCGATGATGTCACAGGTACGATAGCAGTTGTGTAGTTATTCTAGTACAGTTGCTGTACTGGCTGTAGTCTTTGTAGTTGCTGTAGTTATGTTAATGTAAGCCGGCTGATCATGACAAATTTTCATCTATATCTGATACAGTTTTTGTCAATTGTGACGTAGCTAATGCTCAAACATGAGAGGTATTAACGCTGAAAAACCCCATCGAACCACCTTAAGAAAATGTACAGTGAGTAGCTCTTTCTCCCTCCTCCACTTCCCCTGTATATAACACGCTACACTGCTTTCTTTAAACAGCAAAGATCTCGAAGTAACCAGGATAACATCACTAAATACAAGTCACAAGTACCTCACTTCCGTCTATCAACAGCGGCACCCAACGACGGTTTCCTCCAAAAATCGTTATTGAAAACACTTTTTAGGCTATCCAGAGTACTTTTAGATGTCTAGAAATACATTCTAACAAAATTTTAATCTGTTCGGTCATCCTGGGGAAACTTAAGTCTTTTCGAAATTACGAGGACTTGAGTATTATTTTCCCGAAAATTTTAGGTGCAATTCAACGTTTAACGAAAGTGAGAATTTTTCTGCTTCCTCTCTCCATCATATTTTAGAATCCGAAAATTTTAGTTTCCTTTTTCTAAGAAAAGTAGTGTAACCTGGGAAGTAAAATATGAAAAATTAAACTTCAGAAAATCGTAGGGAATTTATTAGATAAGCTTCGAAAATTGAACATAAATGGAACGTTCATTTAGAAATTTTTAGCCGTCCTCAAGCAAAAGAAAATTCTAGGCAATATTTGCTTCTTCAAACACATATTTTACAGAAAACAGTCGTTGGGTGCCCCTGTATCAACAGGTAGTTGAATAAAACGAGTTTTAAATCTTGAGACCTGTGGTTCCATGTTTCAGACAAAATACCCCCAATGCTCAATTTTAACCGTTTTTGTCAGGGCCACTCTCTCGGTGACTTTGAAATGCTGAATTACCAATGAATTGTACACTATCTTTGGGACCTTTGGATCATCTTCAGAAAATCGTTTTCGGGCATGAAGGGGCATAGCGAGAGATTTTGAAGGTGTACGCACAGGAAGAAAAGCTAGAGCGCAGAACGCACTCCAAAATAGGGAGTCTGGGCGCATGTTTCCCAGAATGTTTTTAATTGAAGGTCACGGAAATGCCATTTCCTGCGTTTCTCGCAGAACATTTTGAGTAAACAAGTACGAAGAAAAATGCAGTAGGGGGCAGGGAAGGGTACATTTTTTTCGATTTTCATCCCACTAAAACGTTTCTGCTGTCCGTTTATGGAATAAGAAAAGGATAAAGGAAATATTCAAACAAAGAGACCCATATAATACGAAAAAGTAAATAAGTCATGCGATTAAATGATAAAAATGCTTTCAGGAAATTCAAAAAAGTTCCTTTTTCCAGATTTCAGCTGTACGCACGGGCGTATGTGCGCATATGGACGCTACGCTCCTACAATGTTACTCATTATTAAGCCCAGCACAGTATATAGTAAAAAGGTTCACGCCGCATTGACAGTCGTTGTTCAGCTTCATTAACTATTTGAGAGCTCTCAATTAACCATAAAAGCGGAGCTTCACGTGCGCGGGCAGAGCCCCATAGCTAAGAAAATTTGGTTATCTATCCATGTGAGAACATTTTGTAGTCACGTGATCGTACGCTCGACCGTCCGACCGACCGTCCGTCCGCACCACGGGGAAACCAATGTTAAATTTCACACCTTCTAGCTAGTATGGGAGCCTGCAGCCTGATATTGCACATTCATGTTGTGGCCAATTGACAGATGTCAAAACACGGTATTCGCTGACCAGTCTCACATTACCGTATCGCAGGCTCAGGTTTCGACTCATTTTGTTTGCGTGTTTTTGAATTTATCCGCTGACAAGTTGCTTGTTTTCAAATGATCGCAGGCTCAAGTTCAAGGTTTTTAAATCCACGGGGAAAAAGTTGTGTTAACTCGGAGTCGTTCTATTAACATTTTTATTGACTCCGGACGCGAAAATTCAGCCAGTTTTTACAGGCGGGAAGGCAGTTGCCTTTGGCTTTTCTCACCATGGTCACTCATTGGTCACGCTTTTCGTCCCATGGCTCTGATTGCTCAAAATTTGACAGGTGGGTTCAAGCGGAAAATTTACGCATTATCTGGAAACTTGTTTAGTGATAACTGAAGCTGATAGTTTTGTGTCATCTTATTCTTGCACAAATTGAAAGACAGCTGCTATCAAGATTCTTTTGTTATTCATGGCTGGTTTGTTTATTGGGTTTTTGGTTGAGAAATGCGCCGCTTTTCCAAGTCATCGGAACATGATCCGTTTTCTGATGGCATCGTTTTCAAAACTGAACCTCTACCTAACCTTGCTGGATGCGTAGGAGGGTTGAAAAGTCTGAGGCGATTCTGCCCTTACTTGATGGCCTTCAGGAGCTGCATCTCGACTGGTAAGCCTGAGTAATTATTGCATTTGATGTTTTTTTTTTCTCCTGGTAATTTCATGAAGTCCAGCGTAGTTTTTTGCGGAAAGTTTTTAAGATTTGAGACAATGAGCTGACCTAGTATCATGCCAGGTTTGATATACAGAACTTTAAAAGCCTTTACACATTTTCTGACCGCAAATAGAGGGAAAACGTTCTGAAGAATGTTGGTTGTAAAAAAGGAAAGCTTTGAGCGATATTCTTGCTTCGAGTTCATCTTGAAAAAGTAGCAAACACCTGAAGGCCGGTTTATATCTGCAAGGTTTTTTATATGACCGTGAGGATTTTCAGAAACACTTCACTCTCAATACTTGTCTTCGTGAATAACAATTGATGTCTCTGTAAGTGTTTCACCGAATTATGTTTCTTGTCTTGATTGTTAGTAGTCTCTTTCGCAATTTTTTAAAATCGCAATGCCGTTTGTTTTAAGTCGTACATGAACATCGCATGTAGGAGTACTCAAAATGCCCCGCGTATCAAACGCGTTTAATGATTACACATAATAAAACCATAAAAAAATTAAACATAATAAATTCTTTCTTATATTGAAGCGTAACTCTATTTACCGTTCATTCAAACAAACAACTGCTCGCACTGCAAATTTGGCGC